GCGTGATGCGCGCGTTCAAGGAGCTCCGGGGGCTCTTCGCCCGTTGATTCGGCGCGTCCACGGGCCTTTGATCAAGGAGTTGATGGGGGCATGCGATTATGGGGATCTTGGCTTGTTGGACAGGCGTCATCAAGGCTTCTCAAGATTTTTGATTTCTTGGGCTTCTTCAATCGGCGCTACTTCAACAGCGCGCGGCAATTATTCGCCCGAGGATCTCAGGGGCGAGCGGGCTGCCCACGGCGCGAAGGCGCAGGCCAGGGTCGCGGCCGCGGAGCACGACGGGGACCTTTGACTGAGCTGGGCGCGGACTGGACTTCATGAGCCACCTCGCGGCCACAGCAGAGCCGGACCCTGTTGGCCACTAGCGGTCGAGGAGTTTGCCAGCGAGGGAATTGAAGAAGCGGGCCAGCAGGGCGGAGGGGAAAGCGCGGCGCAGCAGGCCGGTGGACCATGAGTCTGAGAGCATGGTCAATCTGGCCACCAGTCCAGCGGACAGGGTGCGCCGCGAGACTTAGGACGCGCAGGCCACGATGCCCCTCGCGCCCCTTCGGGCAGGCCTCGTGCCACCGACGCGGAACATATTTTTACAGGTACATATCTTTACAGAATCCGCTTTCGGGCAATGCCCGATTCGAGTGGCAGACCTTGACTTGTCCTGCGTAGTGTTTCATAGCGCGGGGTATTTGTCGGAGTCGCAACACTCCCCATTGCTTGTTCGGGATTATCAGCGCCGTCTATGCGCGGCGTCGCGCGGGAGACTTATCCACTGTGGTCAAGAGGCTCTTCCTGGCCCAGTCGCGCGCTACGTGGACGATTTCTTCGGTTGTTCGCGGGGCGGCGCTGAGTGCGCCAGGGGGGCCATCCTCGCGATCATGCTGGTGATCATTGGTTTCCAGTCGGAGCCGGCCGAAACGGTGGGCGGCCCCTTGGAGATGGTCATAATTCGAGTGCTGGTCACCGCAGTGGTGGCCATGATGGAGGTCACATTGCAGGTGGAACCTGCCCAGGCGGAGGCCTGGGCGAGGATTCCGGCGAGGGGCGCGTTCGACCAGGGCCTCGGGCCCAAACTTGCGAGGTGCCTTTCTTTCGCCGTGACCGCGGCGGCCAACAGGGTTAGACGTGCGCGTGTCAGATCATTCTATGCGCAAGCGTCGGCGGCCCCACCCCGACCATGTCAGCGCGTGGTTGTGCGATGCTGCGAGGTGGTGGTGGCAGTGCTTGGAGTTGCGGCCGCCCGTCGATTCCAAGCGCGAGGTGGCCGCGCGGTCGGATATTGCAGGGGCTTCCAGGCGAGTGGCAGCCGTTAGCTGGACGTGCAGTTCTTTGCGGTGGACTCGCGTCAGGACGCCAGAGTGGATCTGGAAATTATTATTCTACCGCCAAGATGATCAGATTGGCGTGCACGAGATGTTGGGGGTCATCCTGGCGCAAAGCACCTTCGCCCACGTGCTCGTGGACTCCTGGTAGGCGGTGTCCGTCAACGACCAGGGGGCGCTCGGGGCCATCCGCAGATCCAGCTCGCCGGGGCCGGAGTCCACATGCATGATGGGCAGCCCGTGGCTGTAAGCGGCCGAAAGGAGACAGAACCTGCGCGGGATGCAAGTGGAGAGTGGCTCCAACGTTGCCGATGGACCGACGATGGGCGACATCAGCGCCTTGTTCGAGCCGGGCGCGGCGCGCGTAGAGCTTGCGCTGACAGCGTGGCTACGGCACCTTTGGGTCCTCCCGTTGGCCGTCTAGCGAGTGGAGTGGAGCGCCAGCACGGCCATGCGCGAGCCTTTCGTTTAGAGAAATATGGGAATGTGGGGGCGCAGGATGCGGGCCACGGGCCGCGCGCCGGCCCATTTGGCACGTCGGCGCATCCCTTGCGTGGCTTTTCAAGTCGCCGCCTGCGGTGCCAGCTGGGTTGGGCGGCGCGCGCGTTGGTTGGCACCCATGCGGGCTCATCCCCAGGGAGAAAGGATGTTTTTTTTTGAATCCCCCACTTGGGATCCTTAGGGGGGTGCTTCTGTCAGTGAACACTTTCTCCCAGTAGCGCTGCGCGTGCCTTGGTGCTTCGGCCAGTTGGCTTGCATCAGGGGCCACTTGCGCGCTTGCCTGCAGGCGGAGTTCGCGGCCGATCTGAGACCGCGGGCCCCTAAAGGGCTAGTCCACCCCGCCGGGGCACAGCGCCATGTAGGGCCGCAGACAATCGGGGATTCATGGGGGGGCGGTTGTCCCAAGGTGGGGGTGGGGAACGGGCCCAGCTGGATGCTCCCGTTTTTAACGCGTCTCCTTCTTCCAAGGGGCCGTTCGAAGCGATTTTCCTTCCAACCCCACCTTTGCCCCAACCCCACCTTTGTGCCCCCCCGAAACAAGCTTGCTTGCTCGGCTGTTGGCATGACTGGCCGGTGGCGCAGGGTGGCGTTCTGCAGGTTGCCGCCTGGGTTGCCAGCCGGGCGGAGTGCGGCGCGCGCGGGCTGGCATCCATGCAGGCGCATCGCCCCGAAGATCTTGACTTGGATTGATGGTTGGTTGGCATGGAACTTCGGTTAGCAGTCGGCGCCGCATCCCATTCACACTTGGACCTGTCAGTGGCCGAGTTGGCTCAAGCATGAAACGCGCGCTGTCTGACGTTGCCGCTCCAGGGCTGGACGGGCTACGTGCTGGCGAGGATGTCGCCGTGGATATAATGCTCGATCTGCTTGCTGCGATCTCGGAGGCGGCAGCGTGGTCCCAGGCGAGGGAGCTGGACAAGCCCCTATCAGTGGTGGCGAAGCTCACGCCGACCGAGCGCATCTTGCACGAGACCGACCTTGAGTTCCCAGTGGTGGTACGCTCCGCGTGGGAGAGGGCAGCTTCGCAGGCGGCCTCCCTAAAAACGGCGCACCGCCGCGCGCCCGTCGGGCCACGCAGCGCGGCGAACGCGGCCCTCGCGCCGCGCCTTCGCGCCGCCCCCCCCCCCCCGTCCTGAAGCAGGAGGGGGAGGAGGAGGGTGGGGAGGAGGAGGAGGAGCAGCAGGGGGAGGAGGAGGAGGAGGAGGGGGACCTGTCGGCGCGAGGCCGTCCGTGGCCTGGCGCTGGATATCACGGCTGGTCTCCAGGGGTGAGGCTCCCATGAGGGGACTCAAGGCGTCTGCCTTCCTCCAGAAGCTCAATGAGCTGGGAGGGCAACTGGCTGGGGTCGTGAATGCCGAAGTTGCGGCGAGGACGATCAGGCTCTGGCCTACCAGTTCGTGCTCAGGGTTCTGGACACTCTCACAGCGATCGACGGCCTCTTCCAGAGGAGGCTCAGAAGTGGTTCACGGCTCTGAGCGGCAGATTATGCTGCGCGTGATACCTCCACCAGGGAGTTACTGCACATGATTTCGAAGCTTTTCGCGTGTGAATATACAGTGTGATATGTGACATGGTTGGTGGCGCACGGTCGCTGCACGTGTTCTGTATAATTGGCATCTGACTTGTGATCTGTGTACAACATATGTTGTTTTGGTGGTACATGTGCCTGATAGGTTATGCTTGGCAGCGCGACGTGTTCACCTTCGATTTGCGATCATGCGTGCCATTGATGTACAGCCACTGTGGTATCATAAGGAGCGCTGAGTAAGGACCGAGAGCGGCTTCTCTGGCCACGGCGAGCCTCGGCCACGAGTAGGTCCCACGGCCTAGATCTGAGCAGCGGCCCGAACACCAGAGCCCTTCCTGCACACGACGTGGTCATGGTTTCGTCGCCCTGACTGCATGTCGACGTTTCGGCAACACCCCAACATACTTATACTATATGTGCGTCGCTCCCCCAGGGGCGACGCGCGCACCGAGAAATCTTATAGTATATGCGTCGTGGCGGGCGCTTTCTGGCCACACCGCTCGGGAAACGATATACTACAAGATGGGTATACTATATGTTCGGGTCGGACGCGCGCCTCCAAGGAGGACATATAGTATTAGTATGTCTTTGTGCGTCCTAAGGTATGTGGTTAGCAGATTTATGTCAGTGGTGGGAGGTCATGGTGTCTGTTACGAACGCGTGATCTCTATGTATGGTGTTGATGTCTATCCATGGTTTAAGAGCATTGACGTATGATCGTGATGTATGTATTTGGTAGTTGCTCGAGGTGTGCGTATGTGCATGTACTGCTGGTCTGCGTTATTGGCATACGCATCCGTTGTAAATGTCATTGATGCATGATGTCGGCCTATAGTGTTGAAGCCTGGTGCGGGTGCATGTGTTTGATATGTGTGAGTGATGTCTGAGCTTGGTGTGTATCGCCACTTTGTTACATACGTTTCCTCCGATGAATGCTACTAGTGAATTATTAACGGTGTGCTGCCGGTTCTTGTTGGTGACAGATGTTGATTGCATCTGATCGTAGTATGTTATCGGCGTGTGGATGTCTACATTCATGTTCTTGATATGTCATTACACATGGCATTGGTGAATGAGATTGCTGGTTGTTGTCTTTGACATATGTCCTTGGTGTCAGTTATGCATATATGATCTTGGTGCGTGTTCTTGAAGCCTGTGTTCTGGGTGCACGTTATGGGCACATGTTCTTGGTGCCTGCAAGTAATGCCCGGCCATTGTATGGATTGTTGATGTGTGTGCACCACGGATGTGTGCCACAGGTGTTTGTCATTGATGTATGTTCCTGATGTGTTCTACTGATATGCGTCATTTATGCATGTTCTTGGCAGGCGTTCGTGAGGTCTGCCCTGGAAGTCGTGGTCGGCGTGACGACGTGACCCCTGCACGGCGCGAGGCCTCCCTGGTGGAGCTCGCGAGGCGGGATCCCAGATATCACCCGAGAGTCTTGGGGCACGGCGGCCGCTGTACGTCGAGTGGTCGAGGTAATCGGGAGGGGTGGGATCCCCGGCGATCATCCTGGGCTCGTGGGGCCCAGCGGTCGCGCAGTGTTGGCTGGGCGAGGCGGGTCGGGACCTTTTCTTCCTGACCTGACAATCCCAACCTGTCGGTTGGGAAACACATGTCCCTGGAGATCGGTCTTTGTCCCTCCTTGGCAGGTGGGGCTGCCTCGAGCAGGGCCTCGTCGAGGCGGAGGAGGACACCCTGCAGGCTGGTGAGAAAGCCATAGCGCACAAGGCTTCCTGAGGCGTGGTTCCCGCGCGGCCCCGTCTGGCTTCAGAAATCCCGCAACTGGTGGCCCTGGCTGGGCCCTCGCTCCCAACCAAGTTGGAAACCGCTCTGAACACACAGCAACTTCGGAAACTACGGTTAAGTCGGGCGTGTCCCTCTACAGGAGGAATGTTCAATGATACCAGAGAAAACCCACTTGTAATAGTTTTAGGCCTATGGGGCTACAGGACTATAGGACCATAGGGCTATAGGTCTAAAGGTCTATAGGGGTATAGGGCTATAGGCATATAGAGCTATAGGGCTATAAGGCTATACAGGCTATACAGGCTGTAGGGCAATAGGGCGATCGGGCTATAGGGCTATAAGGCTATAGGGCGATTGGGCTATCGGACTACAGGGCTATCTGGCTATAGGGCCATGTGGCTATAGAGCTATAGGGCTATATCGCTATTAGGGCTATAGGGCTGTAGGGCTATAAAGCTATAGGGCTATAGGGCTACCAGGCACCCGGGCACCCGGGCGTGCCGCCGAAATCGACGCCAAACCTCACCTAACCATATGAAGCCGCCGGGATCCCTACAGAGGCAAGCTCTGAATTGGGAAATGTTTCAGAAAATAGTATGGGGACGATTGTTTGCGTTTTTTTTCTATTAGTTATTTTCATTGTTTTGATTTAGTTTTGATTAATCGTCCAAAATCCGCTTATAGGGGACATGACCGACCTAAAACTACGGCTGATGGCATCAAAAGAGGCTTCGGATGGGGACGAATCGCTTCAGAGCGTTCTAGAATGCGCTCTGGAGTGGCCGCGGCGCCCAATACATCTTCCTGGCGCCCGCCAGCTTTCACATCCCCGACTTACCCTCGCCGCGCTCGATCCTCATCCCCCTCCCCTTTCCGTCTCCAGGAGGGAGGGAGGAGGAGGGAGGAGGAGGGAGGAGGACCAGTGTAAACCCAAGACTCATCAACAATGTTTGAATAAACCCTCCCTCGAAGCTCCCTCTTCACAGGCCCCTACAATGGTTCATGTTCACTGAGGAAAATGCTCCGTTGGGAGACAACCGTTTGAATATTTTGAATCATGCCAAAACACCACGCCGGGACTCCAATGCCACGAATCAACTTGATTGTTGCGTCTTGACGATCCTGAAGTGATCCAGAACACCACTCATGGAACTTCAGAACCGCGAGACAACTTACCTGTTACGCCCTGACAATCCTGAACCGCTCCAAAACACCATTGCTGGTACGTTAACCATGCAAGTTCGCGAAAGTCCTGCCAATACTTAAGACGAGTGCTCGCGGCGCAAAGGCGAGAGCCACGTTTTGAAAAGGAGCCGACCTCAACCCACAAAGCTCTTACCGTCTTTGAAGACGAGTATGCACGGCGCTCAGGCAGGATCCACATTTTGAAAACGACCCGCCCTCCATTCATGAAGCTCTTGCACCTGTTGAAGACGTGTGTGCGCGACGCTAATGCGAGAGCAAGATTCCGGATCAATTTTGGAAGCGATTCGCCCTCCATCTGTGAAAATGTTGTCAACTCTTGTTTTTTTTTTCAGGATCATAAATGATAAAAAGTCTCATGCGAAACCCCTGGCCCGCCCTTCCGACTGGCCTGGGGGTGCGGCAGTTTGGCGTTTTTTTTTGGTATATATATATATATATATATATATATATATATATATATAGGAAAACCATGGAGGAGGGAGGATGAGAAGGTTGGAAAAGGCATTCGTCGCATGTCGCTGTTCGTGGTCCTGCGCAGCAGGCCGCAAACCGTTGCCTTGCCACTGCCAGGCGCAGGCGGATGCGCTGCAGGGGAGGATGAGGAGGAGGCGGAGGGAGGAACAGGAGGGGGACGCAGAGGGAGGAGGAGGAGGCGGAGGGAAGAGGGAGGAAAAGGAGGAGGTGGAAGCGGAGGAGGAGGAGGAGGAGGAGGATAATCATCATTGACCCGGAGGACATCGCCAGCGCTTGCAACGAAAATGCGAAGAAGGCCATCAGCTCAAACGTCAACAAGGACGCCCGCATCCCAAATACCACTACTAGATACGAGCTGACAGTCAGTTTCCGCGACACCAAACTCAACAGACAAAAGGGCCATGACAACATCATTGACGACATGTGCCGTAGCGCCAGCGACTAGACGGCCCGTCTCTATCACTTACTGATCGTCGAATCTCAGCTGGCTAACGTCGAGCCCGTCTCCCACAAAGGAGGGTGGCAGGCATCATTCGCCAAAATGGGGGTCAACAGTTAGCATGTCATCAGCGGAAGACGAGTAGTCTTGCTGAACAGAGTCAACAGAGTCGTCGCCAAGTACCACCACCGATTCTTACGAACGAAAATAAAGCCCAGTACAGCGATCCTGCTACGTGGTGTTCAGCGTTGGGCACGACCCAACAGGAGCACGGATCTCGTGACACAAACGACCTTCGCCTACATCAACATCGTGAAAAACAGGGGGACGAGCGGGGTACTACTCTTTCTCGGCTTCAAGGACGCCTTTTGCACAGTGGTTATGGGGTTTTGTTCGGGACCTACTGGGCAACATGGAAATGCCTGAGCTCGGACAGCCCTTCCTGGAGGAATCGCTACAAGGCATACCACACATCGACAGAAGCATCGACGATGACCAGTTGGTGGCCCTTCTGAGAGACGCCCACGCGGACCTCGGGGCAACAGCGAGGGCACCGACGCGAGTATCACAGCCACGTACGGGAACGCAGCCAAGAGTGCCAATGTCCGACTTCTCTATCAACGTCGCCTTCGCTCGAATCACCAAAATCATCGCCGATGCCATGCTGGCTCAAGGCATCTACTATAAACAAAGCACGACAGCGACGAACACTCGACCTTCGCACGGGGGCGCCACGCAATCCGAGGCCATGGCCCCGCATCTGCCTCCTTCGTAGACGACCTCACCGCATGCGCCGCCACAACCTCCAGCCACGCTGCTGCTACGGCGACTGCATTATTGAAGATAGTCGAGTCAAGGGTCCGGGCGCATGGCATGCGACTAACCGCGTGAAGATACCAAGATCATGCCACTGTTTTCCGGCACCTGGTCGAGGAACACCGTGGGGCACATGGCCAAGGAGGGCGCCGCCAGCATACCCAGCGCCTGCATCGACCCGACCGTGGAGCTGGTCGACTCCCAGACGGCATTCGGCACAGTCCATGGGACCTGATATAAGGAAGAGGGCCAACAAGGCGATGGTCATCAGAGGACCACGGCGCAATCTATTTTCAAGCGGAAAAAAACACCCACAACGACTCGTTGGTGCCGTCTGCGCCAGCATGCAAAAAGCACACGTGGAGCAACCCTGCGGAGGCCAACAACAGGGCCATCGCCGTCGAGCGCGCGAACGGGCGCGGGCAAGCCAATGGCCGCGACGCAGTCGACAACGGCGCAACCAAGGTGTCCAATCTGAAGGTGCTGAGCGACGCCAACAGGATGCCGCGCGACGTGGCCAGGCGAGCGAGACGGCTGCGTCGCCGGCCGCGCCTGCCCCCCCCCCACGGATCCACCGTCTTATTGAAGCCTTTGGAAATAGGACCTTCGCCGCGACGAACGCAGGGGGGGCGCGATGGCGGAGGGCGCGCATAGCGCGCGCGACCACCTGCACAGGACAGAGCAGCCCAAAGGAACCACCGACACTCGATAATTGGTGCGAGCTATTGGAAATGATCATGACAAGTTCAGGGCAATGGCCAAGACCGTCGTCGCGCGGCACTTGCGACGACGGGCAGACCAAGCCCGCCAAGAAAACTGGCACCGCGCAGTGGTGCCTTGCCAGAGCGCCGCTGGCATGCCATTTGGAACGATCACGCCGCCGCCACCGCCAAAGCCCAGCCGAATGCGCTACCAGCGCGGGGCACTTTTCACAGAGAAGAGCGCCCGCTGCGCCTTCCTTGGGCACGTGCCGCAAGAGGAGGGGCGCGCCCGACTAGATGGGCGCGCGGCTCGCTGTGTCTGACATGTAGTTATCAGCACCGCACCAACGCGCGACTCGTCAAGCACCCCCCAGGCGGCCCCATCACGCGCATCACCATGGACAACAGCAGCGCCGCCCTTGGAAGGTGAGGAAACCGATGGTAATTTTCAGAAAATACGCGCAAACCAGCGAAGCAACATCAGTGGATGCAGACCCGCTCCGCTGACGACGCTCACATCGCGCGCTGCGAGACCGACGCGCTACTGGCCTGCTGCGAGAGCGGGCATGCAGCCCAATACACGCTGCCCCACGTCGGACTACCAGCAACTGACCCCGACGCTCCTAACCCAGAAGTGCCGCGACCCGCAGGAGCACCAGCACGATTCGTCCTCCACGTCTACAGAGGCTGACGACGAGAAGGGGACCTGCAGGAATGAACTGGGCACTTCCGACCGCCGCACGCTACGCTGACCTGCGCAGTATCCACTGACATCGCCAACCACGCCGTTGCGCGGGACTCAGAACATTAGACCATTGTCGACTTCTGGATCAACCAAATCTGGGGCGGAAAGGCAGCGGCCGTCGTGGCAGGGCCACTTCTTGAGGCGCGGGGTGCAGCCAGCAATCGCGTCGCACCCGACGCCCAGCATGAGCCTCAATCACCATGCGGCAGAGAACAACAGCGGAGCCTCAAGTATTTTTTTGACCGCGAGAACAACCAGACTGATATTGGGAACCAGCTGATACGCACGATATTCCTCGCACAGCGCATCGCATGCGCCGCCGTGGCCCTGGCCATCGCCGGGCGCCCCAAAATCGTCGACGGCAGCGTGCGAGCGTCAAGCAGCTCGCAACTACATGACATAAACAATTTATTACGACGACCAAGGGCGCGGATGGTTTCGATCATGAAGGAGCAAATGGCGTGGCAGCCGACAAGCTCGCGCGGGTTCGGAGTGCCGGGGTCGCCGGCAAGCGCATTTCAAAACCCGACCGATAACGCGCAACCGCGGGCGCGGGGCCCATCCGCCACACTGGGTCGCAACGAGGGCGGGATTTGGCGCGGCGCCGCTGCCCGGGCGCGCCTCGCCCAGCTCAGCGAGACACTGGCGTCGGCCTTATCTGAAGTTTAGCACGCGCGGTGGCGCATAGATAGCGCCGCCGACCAATTTGACATCGAGGACACCCACGTCGCTTTCAACGCACCATTGGACCTTTACTGCGGTTTCCAGCGCAGCGCAGACTGCATGACGCATCGGCGACACTTCACAGCCGCGGCACTTGCCCGCCCCCCTTCTGGGAGGCGCGCGAGCGCGACGGCGAGCGCGCAGAGCCGCAGTCAACCCATAGCACCGACAGCTCTACAGCTACGACGCGCCCGCGGGAGGGGCCGGGAAACATATTCCAGGTGGAGAGACCAGCGACGACGCCCACCGCGACCTCTGCTGCGTCGCGACTCCCACTTCGGCGGGGCCATGGATCAGCCGCCCGGGGCCGGCAGCCGCCCGCGCGGCCCGCGCGGCTCGGGGCATGTCCCCTTGACGGGCGATGATTCAACTACGGCTCGAGCTCCGTTTACCAGGGGCTTTTGCGCGCTTGTCCGGAGGGGGGCTGCCCCTTCGGCTGACCGCGACGCCGAATGGAAGCGACTGTGATATAT